ATATATATATATATATATATGCATATATATGTATATAATATCTATCCATTATATATGAATCGATATATATGTATATATATATATATGCCTATTATGTACTATATATATTGTATGCTATATTATGTGCATAATATAGAGGTGCTTATGTATGACATCTATACATGTGTCTCCTCTCTTTCTGCTGTCTGCATATCTTCTGTCTCCTTTGCTGGTGTCTCCTTTTCAGGGCTATGTCTGTGTCTCGCGCTGTGAAAGACCAAATGGTGGCGATGTGGGCGTCCTTAGATGAAGCACATCTAGGACAAATAGATAGGCCTAGGATATTTAAGTTTTTAAAGTCTCAAGGTCTCTCTATAGACAGCGAAGCAGATGTGAATGTAAGTGTCTCCTTTGCTGTCGTGCTGTCTCCTCTAGCCAAGTGCCTCCCTCTCTGTCTCTCTCTCTCTCTCTTTTTCTCTATTTAAGCGTCTCTCTCTGTCTCCATCTCGGTTTTTTTGTTTCGGGTTGTGCTGCTAGGCCCATGCACTCAACTGATTATGCTTCAATCAAGTGTCTCCTTTCTTGTCTCTTCTTGTTTAACCAAGTGTCTCTCTAACTCTTTCTTTGTCTCCTTTTCTTTACACAAATGCCTCCCTCTGTCTCTCTTTATGTCTCTTTTCCTCTACTTAAGCGTCTCTCTCTGTCTGTCTCTCTTTCTCGCATGCATGCATGCATGCATGCATGCATGCATGCATCTGTGTATATTCATTTATGCTTTGTTTTGGGGGAGGCGGTGTTGTTGCAGTCGAAGTGTTTTGGGGCTGTTGATTTGTTTGTTTGTTTTGTGTGTTAAGTTTTGTTTGTTTTGTTTTGTGTTTATCTTTTTAGGATTTCCTCCAAGTGTTTGATCGGAATAACAAAGGGGCTTTAGATGAAGAGGAGTTCTACGTGATGGTTATTGTAGTTAAACAACTCCTTATAGAGCCTCTAGACAAAGATGCTCTTCGAGTCAGCCCCTAAACCCTAAACCCTAAACCCTAAACCCTAAACCTTCGTTGAGGCCCAGGGGAAGCCTGTTGTTGCGTTTCTCAGTTTTTAGGGTTTAGGCGTCTCCTTAGCAAAGAGTGTCTCCTTTTATTCTTTTCAGTTGTCTCTAAGCTTTAAAGTGTCTCCTTTTGGGGCTTTTCATGCACCTTTAAGGCCTTAAAGTGTCTCCTTTTGTCTTTTATGTTTTATTTGCAGGCGCTCTTCGAAGACAAATTCGGCATTCCTTGGACAGCCCCAACTGGGATCGATGCTAACAGCCTCGCGAGAATACTGACAGAGGTGAGAAGGCTCATCACCGTCACCTGGGGTATCTTCTCACCTTTTGGGGTGTCTCCTCTTCAACGTTCGGGTGTCTCCTCACCTATTGGGGGGTCTCGTAACCTTTGGGGTGTCTCCCCACCTTTTTGGGTGTCTCCTCACCTTTTTGGGGTGTCTCCGCAGCTCGTGGCGTCAGCAGCCCCAAACAACAGCAGGAAAAGCCATTCAACTTGCATGCATGCATGGATGCATGCATTGTTGTTCTTAGTGTATATTTGTTGGTGTTTGTTTGTTTGTTTTTTTGCGTTTGTTTGCAGTTGAGGGTCCACTGGTCTGAAGGCAAACGCCGCTATCTTTTAGATTTCGTAGGAGGCCGCCGCTCTACTCCAGGTGTCTCTGCAGATTTGTTTGTCTCTCAGCTGCAAGCAATGGAAGAACAAACCCTGCAGCCAGTGCAGCACGTAGGTCTTACTTTTGTTCCTAACTAGGGTTTAGGGTTTAGGGTTTAGGGTTTAGGGATTGGGGTTTAGGGTTTAGGGCTTGGGTTTCGATAAGTGTTTCTTCTACGAGGGTTTTCGTCCCGTGTCTCTTTCTCCTGCATCCGATCTTGGGTACTTAGGGTTTAGGGTTTGAGGTCTAGGGTTTAGGGTTTAAGGCCTAGGGTTTAGGGTTTACGGCCTAGGGTTTAAGGTTTGTGGTTGGTACACTGAAGCCCCTTGTTGCTGCTGTCTCCTTGTCTCCCTCTTAGTGTTGCTGCTGTCTCCTTGTCTCTCTTTTAATGCTGCTTCTGTCTCCTTGTCTCTCTCTTAGTATTGCTGCTACCTCTTGGTCTCAATCTTACTACTGCTGCTGTCTCCGTGTCTCTCTTTTAATGCTGCTTCTGTCTCCTTGTGTGCGCTTACCTCCCTTGTAGGCCGTTGGCGAGATACAGAGGAGACCCCAGGGACATGAGAGAGAAGGAGTATAAAAAAGTTTTTATTTGTCGAACTGTAAAATGCAGCAGCAGCACAGAGCGCATGCAAGTGACCTGCGCAGACACTGCGTACAGCCCCAAAACTGCAAGCGCATGCATGCAGCTGCACAGCAACATCATTCGGAGACCCCAAAACTCAGCAGCAAAAGAAGAAACAACAGCAACAACAGCAACAGCAGCAGCAGCAGCAGCAGCAGCCGTAGCAACAGCAGCAGCAGCAGCAAGTAGCTCTGGTGTACGAGCATGATAAATGAATATGTTTAAGTTTTATTGTTTAGCTGTGTAGCAGCACAGACGGCAGCGCGGCCTTGGTGTCTCTGCACAGCCCCAAGGAGACACAAAGGAGACACAAAGGAGACACTTGCAAAAGTTAAAGCTAAAAGCCCCTCCTCTTTTTTTTATATCTCGAGGCCCCTAATGGCCTTCACAGCTGGGGTGTACAGACACCCCAACATTAGATTTTACATTTTATTCGCCGCGTAAAACAATTGGTGGAGACAGTGCATGCGAAGTGTCTCCTTTTTAGGACAGATACAACAATAGGCTGCTGCTGCTGCTACTGTTGCAGCTGTTGCTGCAGCAGCAGCAGCAGTAGTGTAGGGGACCGAACAGGCTGTAGGCCTGAGTAGGTACTTAGCGAGGTGTCTCCTTCAGGTGTCTCCGCAGCTGAAGGAGAAGGGCTGTCCCCAAACAAGCGAAGAGACAAATAGGCTCACGAAGAGCCCCTGTATCTATATTCCTAGCAGCAGAAGCAGAAGAAGCAGCAGCAGCAGCAGCAGCAGCAGCGGCAGTAGAAGCAGCAGCAGCAGTCTAACGCCGACGTATGCCCCTGAAGACAGCATCAAAATATGTACTTACGAATATGTATATGTATATATATAATATATATAATATATATTATATATATTATACACACACACACACACATATATATATATATATATATATATATTATGTATATATGTATACAGAGAGAGAGATGCATCCGCATAGATTTATTATAAAAAGAATTATACGAGTATGATATCAATACGACAGTTATATGAATGTTGTTTATAAATATAAATATATATGTATTTATATATATGTTTATATATATACATTATACGAGTATAATAAATATTTTATATGAATGCCTTGTATACAGATAATATATTAAATATGCTTAGAGTAGCTACATATAATATATTAGATATGCTTAGTGTAGCATCGGAGGAGAGCTGCGCACTGTCTTTGTATATAAATGAGTTATTGATGGTTTGGCCGTAAATAGCAAAAAATAATTAAAATAAAAATAAAAAATAAAAGAAAGAATAAAGTACAAACAACAAAAACAAATAAAAATACTGTCGGCGTTGAGGAGACAGCGGGGTGTATGTACAGCTGATGCCCCCCATCCTTATAGCAGCGATTAAACTAAGGGTAAAAGAAGCTGAGATAGAAGAATAAAAGCTCTAAATAATTGTAATAATAATATAAATAAATATAAACATTAGTTTTTAATAACTTTCTTCTTTGTCCTTTGACTCTAAGGGGCTTTACAGCCCCTCTCCTTGCGGCTGCGGTGTATATCGAGCTTGGCTGTAGAAATGCACAAAGAGAGATTTTTATTTGCTTCCTTCTTTGTTACTGGAGATAAAAGGGGCCTTCATTGCAGCTCTTAATTGCCTTTAAAGAAGAAACAAGAACAGACGCGCTCTGCTGCTGCCAGCAGCGGCAGCAGCAGCAGCAGCAGTGCATCGCTGATACAGCTGGGCATATACTACAGCTGCCTGTACACCCCAGATACTGCTGCCTCTACACCCCGAACACAGCTGCCTATACACCCCGAGCACAACTCCCTGTACACCCCAAGAGCAACTCCTGCCCATACACGCGAAACACAGCTGCCTGTACACTCCAACCGCAGCTGCTGCCTATACACCCCAACCGCAGCTGCTGCCTGTACACCCCAGCTGCAGCTGCAGCTGGTGCCTATACACCCCAGGAGGAGCTGCCTATACACCTGAACCACAGCCCCATGGCCAAGGTCTACGAGTCAAACGAGGAGGCGGCGGAGCTGCTCGGCCTCGCATATCAACGTATTGGCGACAGGTAAGCTTTACCCTTCATTTGAGGTGTACATACACCCCAGAATATTAGTGCTGCAGCAGCAGAATAAGCGGCTCCTGCTGCTGCAGCCTTCGCTCCCAGCCTCCCACCGACCCACATCCTCGAGGCGTTGATCCTGCTGCTGTTGCTGCTGCTGCTGCTGCTGTTGCTGCTGCTGCTGGTGCCTGCAGGGATACAGCCAAGGAGCTTCAGCAGCAACTGCTGCTGGTTCTGTCTCCAAAGCGCTTTGAATTCTGCGCCTCTCAGGTGTTGCTGCTGCTGCTGCTGCTGCTGCAGTTGCTGTAGTTGCTGCTGCTGTTTGTGCCTTTGCTGCCCCTATTGCATTTTCATTTTCTTCTTAGTCTCCATATCTGCTTCATCTGCTGCTTCTGCTGCTGCTGCTGCTGCTGCTGCAGATTGCTGCTGAAATATGTGCTCTTGAAGAGGGACAGGCGGTGGAGAGACACTGGAGTGCAGCAGCAGCAGCAGATAATTTGTCTCTAAATCAGTGGCTGAAGACACGCGGTAAGAGTCTTTTTGCTGCTGCTGCTGCTGCTGCAGTTGCAGCTGCTACTGTTGCTGCTGCTGCTGTTGCTGCTGCGATACCGCATGCACACGGTATAAGTAGAGAGCACTGCTGCTTACTTTGCTGCTGCTGCTGCTGCTGCTTGTTTGTTTGATTTGCTGCTGCAGATTTGTGTTATTCTGGTGAAGATGTCGCAGCAGCAAGTTTCTCTGAGAGGCGCCTACTTCTAGGTTAGCAGCAGCTGCGTTGCTGCTGCTGCATTTGTTGCTGTTGTTGCTGCTGCTGCTGCCGCTGTTGCTGCTGCTGCGGCTGCTCTTGCCCCTGTTTCCGCTGCTATTATTTATTGCTGTTGACTAAGGCGACGTCTTAGTGCCTTCTGTTGCTTTCAGGAGTGCTGCTGCTGCTGCTACTCCTGCTGCTGCTGCTGCTGCTACTCCTGCTGCTGCTGCTGCTGCTATTCCTGCTGGTGCTGCTATACTGCTGCAGCTGTTGTTGTTGCTGCTGCTGCTGCTTGGGTGTCTGTACAGAGGAGCTGCTGACTGAGTTGTTGGGGGCTCGGCTTGAGAAGGGACAGGTGCTGTCTTCGTCTCTGTCTCTGGCGCCGTCTCCTCTTCCGCGGCTGCAGCAGCATCAGCAGCAGCAGCAGCAGCTGCTGCTGCTGCATGAGGCGCTGCGCTCTCTCTGTCTCTCTCTTTCTGTCTCTCCTCCCTCCAACCTGACCCCACAGCAGATGAAGACTGCTATGCATGCAGCAGCTGCTGCTCTAGCCAGCAAAGTAAGATTGTTTAGGAGATAAAACCCCAAGACGCTGCTGCTGCCGCTGCTGCTGCTGCTGCTGCTGCTGCTGCCGCTGCTGCTGCTGGTGCTGAAGGGAGACAGAGAGCAGCAACTGCCGGCAGGTTAAAGAGAAACGAGCGAGGGGACAGATAATCAGAGGGCAGCGAAGGAGACAGAGAGACAGCAAGACAGACAAAAGGAGACAGAAGAACAGAGACAGAAGCTTGCGGCTCTGCAAAGCGCTGAAGGAGACTCCTCATGCATCACCATTACCTGCTGCTGCTGCTGCTGCTTTTGCTGCTGCTGCTGCTGCTATTGCTGCTGCTGCTGCTGCTGCTGTGTGTTTGGCGCAGCCTTGTGCTTCTGCTGCCCTGCCGAGTATGCTGCTGGGCCCCTGGCCTGCAGATTATTCAGCGGAGACAGCAGCAGAAAGAGCTTCCTGTCTCCGCCGTTTGTGTGTCTCCTTAAACAAAGATTATAACATAAGAAGAAGGGCTATGCTTATCAGAGCCAACGTCACCGTACAGGCGTTCCTACCTGCTCTACAAACAGCAGTCCGTCTCCTGCTGCTGCTGCTGCTCTTGCTGCTGCTCTTGCTGCTGCTGCTGCTCTTGCTGCTGCACTTGCTGCCGCTGCTGCTCTTGCTGCTGCGCTTGCTGCTGCTGCTGCTGCCGCTGGTGCTGTTGCTGCACTTGCTGCCGCTGGTGCTGCCGCTGCAGTTGCTTCTGCTGCTTCTGCTGCTGCTGCTGCTGCAGGAGCACGAGGAGACAGTGTGTAAGGTGTTGGAGGGTCTCCATGCCCTTGAGAAGGCGGAGCCTCCTTGCGTTTATCTCCATACACCATTTGCTGCTGCGTGAGGCCCTCTCTGTCTCCTTCTGTCTCCTTCTGTCTCCTGCTGTCTCCTCCTGTCTCCTCCTGTCTCCTTCTGTCTCTTTTTGTCTCCTGCTGTCTCCTTCTGTCTCCTCCTGTCTCCTGCTGTCTCCTGCTGTCTCCTGTCGTCTCCTTCTGTCTCCTGCTGTCTCCTTTTGTCCCCTGCTGTCTCCTTAACCCTCTCGATCTCATGATGTCTCCTCCTGTCTCCTTTTATCTGCTCCTGTCTCCTCTTCTCTTTCTCTGTTATTTGTTGCCGGCGCACTAGCAGCAGCAGCAGCAGGGAGGTAGAAGGAGACGCCTCATCAAGCTAATCTTGCGCACTTAAGCTGTCCCTAAGATAGAGACACAGAGAGACAGACAGACAGAGGGCCCTCCCTGACTCAGGAGACACCGAGAGGAGCCGCAACAGCAGCAGCAGCAGCAGCAGCAGCAAGGAAGAGACTGGAGTATGCCTCAAAGAAGGTGTATGTGTGTGTGCATGATATATTGGGGTGTCTGCAGCAGCAGCGTTCTTCGCGAAGCAATGAAGAGCAGGCGAGCTAGCAGCAAAGGAGAAGGCCCCCGGAGTTGGATTAGAGGACAACTAATAGATAAGGAGACACCTGTCTCCTCAGCTGCAGCCGGAAGACCCCAAGACATCACCCCACAGCAATATCTTAACAGCATAGAAAAGGCAAATGCAGCACTCAGAGGAGCTCCCACCAGAGGGTCAGGCATCCATCCATGCATTCACTTTTGGGGCTTTGCAGTGCATGCATGCATGCATCTGGGGGTGAAGCGCATGCATGCATGCATGATTTGGGGCTTTAACACCATGGCAGTTGCTCTAACACGAGGGTAGACAACGACTCTCTGGCTCCAGGAGAGTCTACAGAGCAGACGGGTTCTTGTGGGGTTAAGGGTTAAGGGTTTAGGGTTTAGGGTTTAGGGTTTAGGGTGGTTTAGGGTTTGTTTAATGCTGCAGGGGAAGCTGGGGCGGGGCACGCGCTGGCCGAGGAGGGAGATTCTCTCGCTCGGGGGGCCGCGGGGGCTCCACAGGATTTGAAGCTGCACCTGCAGCAGCGCAGCAGCAGCCGTTGCAGCAGCAGCCACTGCAGCAGCAGGCGCTGCAGCAGCCGTTGCAGCAGCAGCAGCAGCAGCAGCAACGGCAGCAGCAGCAAGGAGGGGGCGGCCACCGCTACAGGAGAGGAGGGGGTAGGGGAGGATATGCGGGTCCCTCAAGCGCCAGAGGCGGTGGCTTTGGTGGCAGGTGAGGAGTTTGGGGTGTATATACAGTGCATTTAAGTGTATGTACAGTGGATTGCAGTAAGCAGCAGTAAGGCGGTGTATGTACACTCGCCCTGGGGTTTAAACAGAGAGAGAGGGCAGCGTTTTGCCTCCGTTTGAGGTGTACGTACACCTCAAAAAGCAAACACCTTCTATGTTTTGTTCGCAGGGCCGGCGATCTCCCCCCCACTTGGAAATCCCCAACGCAGAACCTCTGACAGAAACCGCTTTCGGCTGGAGAATGTTTGAGGTGTACGTACACCTGACGGGGAGGTGTTTGAGGTGTATGTACACCTGAAGGGGAGGTGTTTGAGGTTAACGTACACGTGGAAGGGGGGTGTTAAGGTGTACGTACACCTGGAGGGGGTTTGAGGTGTACGTACACCTCAAACCCGTCCGGGGTGGGGAAGAGGGGACGAAGGGTTGAGGTGTATATACAGCTGGCACTGTGTATTGCCGCTGTTGTTTTTCTCTGTTTATCTTCGGGCTTTGACTCATCAATAAACAAACAACTCCTAATGCGGCGCTGCTCCATTGGGGGCCCCTCCATATTCCTGGGGGGCCCCTAGGGCGGCCTCTTCTTAGTTTATGTACAGTGCATGCAGCGCATGCAGTGGGGCCCCGTGTCTTAGGGCTCTGTTGTTGGTGTTTTGCTGAGGCGCGTAGCAGACGAAGGAGACAGAGACGGAGATGTAAATAGTAATAATAATAGTGATAATAGCAATAACAATAGCAATAATAATAAATAATAATAGAAAGAATAAGAATGAATAGGGGTGGTAAACAGAGAGAGACAGACACACACTGTTAAAACGCATGCAACTGTAGCGAGAGGTGACAGCACCTCAGTAGACAAATAATAGCAGAGTTAATAATACAATAAACATCTTTAATGGAGGCTTCGTTAGTTTGTTTGTGTGTATGCATGAATAGTAGTGAAGAATTAGTCTCTCTGCACATGCATGCAGCGGGAGTCCTCCCGAGAGACTTCAGAAATAAAAGGGAGACAACTAAGTAAAAATAATACAAATATAAAGAACTGCACCGCCATAATAACATCAATAACAACAACCCCACCAGTAGCGTGACCACTGGTCTTGCGGGGATCTGCCTGCTGCTGCTGCTACCTCAGTTTAGGGTAGGTTTTAAGTCAAAAGGAGAATAAAACAATCAAATAAAAACCTTTTTATTAATACTAAAACAAAATAAAGAGTATGCATGCGGCCCCAGGGCTGAGGTGTACGTACACCGCACGCCTCCTGCTGCTGCAGCTGCAGCTGTGTTTGGGGGGGGTGGGG